ATGATGGATGTTTTACACATTGCCACTACTGGCCCCCAGGTAATCTCTAATGAGGAGCTGCCATGGAGCTGGACACCTAGGTAAGGGTTAAGGGGAAGGTGAAACATAATGTGGGAGCAAATTACTGCAGATGCTGGGAACTGTAGTGAAAAAAACAAATGCTGGAGATCACACAAATTTCAAAATTTGTCGGTAATATCAAATTTGGAGGAGTGGTAAACAGAGACCATGGTCTGAAACAATACAACAGAATCTAGATAAGCCAGCAGAATTTGCAGATATGTGGCATGTGAAATTTAATATAGAGAAATGTGAAGTGATGTATTTTGACAAAAGGGATCGAAAGAGGCAACGGTGGAAAGAGTGTCCAACGACAGACAGACCTGAGGATGCATGTACAAGGATATTTAAGGTGTCAGGATATATTGGGAGAATGATTAGCAAAATATATGAGATCCTGGACTTAATAAAGATATTGACTTCAAAAGCAGGGAAGTTATGATAAACTTTTTTAAAAAATCTTGTTTGACCACAGCTACAGTATTGTATCCAGTTCTATAAGAAAGATGTGAAGGTCTTTGAGAGGGTGTTGAGGAGAAATACCAGAATGGCTCCAGGGAAAGGAATTTTTATCCACACGATTAAATTGCAGAAGCTGGAGCTGTTAACTTTATACATTGAAAGGGAGATTTGATAGGTGTAGACTATTACCAAGTTAAGTGATTAACTATATCTGAACAATCAATATCTTTTCACCCCCAGCACTCTTCACCCCACCACCCCAACACATTACCCCACCCCAACTATAGCATAAATGCTGTCCCCTCCACACTTCACTTCAGCTCTGATGAGGAGTCATCTAGACATGAAACATTGGCTTGCTCTCTCTCCATGGATGCTATCTGACCCATTGTGATCTCCGGCATTTGTTGTTTTCAGAGGGTGAAGCATACATGGAGAACTACTGTAGAAGTGCTTCTCTTGTGTGAAATGGCGGCCAGAAGAGTTCCTAAGTTGACATTTAATAGCCAAAAGGTTGGTGCGACAACTGAGACTTCTCCCCTTCCCAGTTAAATGCTACCAAAGGTTAATGACCAGGCATAGCATCAATAGTATGCATTCTCTGCCTGCCAGCTGCTTCTGAGAAGTTGTGAAATTCCACCCTTCAAGTCTATCCCTTCTACCATAGGCCAATGGCAACAATTTTTCTTTGTCTGCTTTGTCTGTCTACACCTATCAAATCTCCCTTTCAATTTCTAAAGAGAACAGCCCCAGCTTCTGCAACTTAGTCATGTGGATAAAAATTCATTTCCATAGAGCCATTCTGGTAAATCTCCTCAACACCCTCTCAAAGACCCTCACATCTTTCTTAAAGAACTGGATACAATACTCTAGTTGTGGTCAAATAAGATTTTATAAAGGTTCATCATAACTTCCTTGCTTTTGAACTCAATATCTTTAATGAAGTCCAGGATCTCATATATTTTGCTAATCATTCTCCAATATATCCTGACACCTTAAATATCCTTGTATATGCATCCTCAGGTCTGTCTGTCGTTGGACACTCTTTACACCTGTTGCCTCTTTCCATCCTTCTATCCAAATGCATCACCTCACATTTCTCTATATTAAATTCCACGTACCACATATTGCAAATTCTGCTGGCTTATCCAGATTCTGTTGTAATGTTTCATATCACGGTCTCTGTTTACCACTCCTCCAAATTTGATATTACCAACAAATTTTGAAATTTTACTTTGTATTCCCTGTAATTTATATCTGAAAAACCTACTGTCTTCACAATGACCCTTGGAGAACATCACTGTCTACCATTATCTTGTCTGAAAAATAATAATTTTCTATGACTTGCTATTTTCGCTCTTTAAGTCATTTTCTTATCCAAGCTGACATAGACCTTCCTATTTCATGAACCACAATTTTGTCAACTAACCTTTTATGTGTACTTTGTCAAATGCTTTCAAAGGATTCATAAAGACAATGACCATTGCATACCCTTCATTAAATGTAGTGTAACCAAATTTGCAGATGAGATAAAAATAGATTGAAAGGCAAGTAGAGAGAGGGATACAAATAGTTTACAGAGATGTATTGATCAGTTCAGTAAGTGATCAAGAAGTTGGCAAATGGGAGTATATTTTGGGAAAATGTGAAGTTGCTTGGAAAGGAGTACAAAAGAACACAGTACTATTTAGATGGAGAAAAATTGCAGAAAGCTGTAATACAAAGGGATTTGGGGATAGTTCTGCACAAAATAAAGAATGCTAGCACACAGGTGCATCAGGTAATCAAAAAGGCTGATCGAATGTTGGCCCTTTTCAAGGGATTTGGATTATAAGAGTAGGGCAGTCAAACAGGTTGGAACTCTACTCACTGGAGTTTGGATTAATGAGAGGTGATCTTATTGAAACATTTAGCATTCTCAAGGGGCTCGACAGGGTAAATGCTGAGAGGATGTTTCCCATCATGGGAGAGACAAGGACCAGAGGGTATAGTCTCAGAATAAGGCAATGCCAATTTAGGACTGAGATGAGGAGGAATTTCTTCTCTCAGACAGTTGAGAGTCCTTAGAACTCCATATCACAGAGAGCTGTGGGCATAAATTCCTTGTGTATATTTAAGGCCGAGACTGATAAATTCTTGCTTAATAGAGGAATCAATAGCTACTGGGAAACTAGATGAAAGTAGACGTGAGGAATGTCGGATTAGGCACGATTCTATTAAATGGTGGAGCAAGATTCGAGAGGATGCACTGCATACTCCTGTTTCTGTTTCTTATGGTCTTACGATCTATTAACCTTCTCCATTACTTATAAAAATGTTCAATTAGCTTAGTCAAACATTGTCTGCCTCTTACTAATCTGCACTGATTTTCCTTGATTAACGGAAACCTCTCCAAGTCACTGTCGATATTTTCTGTAATTGTTGTATCTCAAACCTGACTAACCACTGATCGATAGCTGCTTCAACTATCCTTGTAGTTATTCTGCCAACCAGTTGCAACATGTTATGACACAACTCTAGAGCAGTTTGCACCTGAACTCAGGTCATCTAGCCCAGAGGTACAGACACTACCACCGCACCGCAAGACCTCATATTAAATTTTTAATCCCAGATTGAGATTTTTCTTTTGAAATTTCTAATTCTAGCCATCTGCCAAGGGCGGATTTCAGCCCAGGTCCCCAGAGGTTTGCCTATGTCTCTGGATTTCAAATTCATTGAAATCACCTCTATTCTATCATCTCACCTGTAGGACAAGTCTAACAGCTTTTCATGCATAAGCATATCACATTTGCCTTTTTCCAGTTCTCTGGCACCTCCCTTGCATTTGGGGAAGATTGGAAAATTATGCCAGGCCCTTCTGCTATACCTCAGCTTCCACTTAATTTAGTAATCTGGGATTGAAGTCGTCCAGGACAGGTGACTTACCCATTTCGATCATAGCCAGATCGTCCAGTGCCTCCTGCCTATCATTGTGAACTGTTCTCAGTCGCTAATAACCACTTGCGGCTACTTAATTTATTTTGCCAATATTCTGTCAGGCCCAATTTCTCCAGCTAAGGATCAATTTAGAATATCCAACTTTGGGTCGATGGCCACTTTATATAATCCTTATAGTGTTGAAGCAGGCCATTTGGCCCATCAAGTCCACACTGACCCTCTGAAGTGCATCCCACCAGACCCTACACTATCCCTGTAACTCCATGTTTCCAATGACTAACCCATCTAGCCTGCACATCCCTGGACACTATGACCAATTTAGCATGGTCAATCCACCTAACATGCACATCTTTGGACTATGGGAGGAAACCAGAGCATCCACACAGACAGTTGCCTAAGGATGGAATCAAACCTGGGTCCTTGGCACTGTGAGGCAACAGTGCTAACAACTGAGCCGCTTTACTGCACTTGACCACATCTGGCTAGAACCTTTCTCATCCCACTGAATATCACCCTCTACCAACTTATACTAATTCTCCTTGCCTTTCTGCATTACTAGTCTAAACTTATGATATGACTCATAGAGAGTCAAAAAGTTTTTACAGCATGGAAAGAGCCCCTTCGGTCTGTAGTGTCTATACTAGTGATCCAAACATCCATCTTTTGGAATTCCTTTTTTCCAGCACTTGGCCTATGGCCCTGTATGCCGTGTTTCAAGTGTCAAGTAGTTCCTCAATGTCTTGAGGGTTCCTGCATTTACCACCCTTTTAGGCATTGTGTTCCAGACACCAGCCATCAATGGCTTCCTAACCATGGGCCACGTTTCCACAAGGTCTGCCGACCTATGAGTGATCTCTTCTCCTACTGCCTTCTCCATCAACAGCCCAATTCACTTAGCCTACTCCTCAACCCTTCCCTGGGCCCTTGTTTCGCCTCACTGCCCTCAGAACCCCCACACTTTTCTGGAGACTTAGGACTTTGAAGACCGGTCATAGTCCCAACCCTGTTTAATGTCTGTATGTTCTGTTCTGCTGACCTATCACACTCTCGTTATCATCCCCATCGCCGCAGTGCGCTATTGTCTTTTCCAAATCTCCTCTCAAACCATCGCCTGTTTTATTTTTTCTGCAGTTATGACTTTCTAATTAATCGGAAACTTTGAGAAATGAGTATGACAGATGTAAAGTGCCCCAAGTTGGACACATTCCGAAGACATCTATCTTGATATAGAAATACTGTTTTCTAAATGGTATCGATAACCTCTTTTTCCATAATACAGAAGCTGATGGAGCAGGCTGTGTATTTTCTCTGACTACCATCAATATGAGAGGGTGGGCGGAACAACTTAAATATGTTTGAAAATAAAAGGGGATTCCTCTGACCCATCGTGAAATCTGAACACGCTGCTGAGAGAGTGGAGGGACTCAAGCTGGAGTCGTACAGAGGATAACTGATCACTGGCGAAAGGAAGAAAACGTGATTTTGTCCTGGGAGAATTACAGTGCACGAGGGAGGGCGGGGAGTTTGAGGATGTGAGAGTGTCCGTGTGTGTGATTGCACGGTACCTTGGTGAAATCACATGCTCTTCCTGGCGAGCTATAGGGACAGGAGAGGAGAGAAAGAGCCTCGGAGGGAGTACGCTCCAGCAACACTACAGCAGCTTCAGCTAACAGGTCAGTGAATCGGTGGCATCATCACCGCCCAACTCCGTCCTCGCTTAAATCTGCAAGCCCCACCCCCCCCCAACACACACACACACACACACACACGAGATGTTTTGATCAAACCTATCCAATCCATTATTATCCAGTTTGACAGAGGTCAGTGTTGATGCTTGTGTCATTTTTTTCTGTCGGTGCCTGTAATCTTCCTCTTTCTGTTTGGCTGTTCTGAGGGTGAATGAATCAGGTGTTTATTCTACAGTGTTCCATTGAGCGAGGACCAAAATGGATGTTTTCATGAAAGGATTGTCCAAAGCGAAGGAAGGAGTAGCTGCTGCAGCTGAGAAAACCAAGCAGGGAGTAGCAGAAGCGGCAGAGAAGACTAAAGAGGGAGTGCTATATGTTGGTATGTAAACATGAAAAGCCAGTGAATATACAAAGGAAGATAGCGTCGCCCCTTTCAGTTATACAATGAACCCTCCCTGGATGGGCGACTTACACAGTTATTACGTTAAAACGGGAGAAAGAAATGCCTTTTTTATATTGAATATTAGCGGTAACTGTATCAGTTGTTTAAAAAAAGCGGAAAACATTTAATCTCGGGGGAGCAATCTAGTTTCTGCGTAGAGATGCTTTCGTTGTCAGTTGGGGACTGATTCAAAGGTCTTTATTTCCGTTGAGCAGATGGGCCAGCCATATGGCACTTTCCTCCAGCCCAGAGAGAGAGATCCTCTTTCCAAGGATGCGGCATCCAACACATTCAGACCGCACGTCTGCCATTAAATAAAATAGCAGAAGTGATCGTGACATATCACAAGAAATGTTACGTACTTTAGGGGATTGTCGGCACTATTGTGAATTCAGATAATTACCCCGTGGATAATGATGTTTATGTTTAACCTTTAGGCTCCAAAACCAAAGAAGGTGTTTCAAGTGTTGTCTCAGGTAGGTACCCACGAATGTTCAAATGACAAAATAATTGAAACGCGTTGCATTTTTGTCACATTTTTGTATTTAATGTGCCTGAATCGAATGTTTTCTACCGTAACTATCAAGAGTTGTTTTAAGATATTGGTTCGGCATTAGTTAAAGTGTAAACGTCAATTTCAGTTGATCAATCCATCAAGACCACTAATTCTTACAGTTCCACATAGGCATGGTGTGAAAATTGAGCGGATTTATCGGAAGTGCAGTTCTCATTTACAGCGTACCTGTAACTGAATAAGTAACTTGTCATCCCGTACCATCCGTGAACTGCAATATGTACTGCAATTGCGAAGTGAAATGCACGAATTAGTTTCACTTCAATAGGTTGAAATGTTTCTTAGAAATGGTGCATTATAGATTAATATGTTAATCTGGTTGTTACCTTGAGTCGTATTAAACACACATAAACATTTGGAATTACCACGTTAACAATATATACATAATATCTTCTTATATAATTACTTTGTTCACGATTTTACTGGAAGTATCACCCATTGCAATAAAGCCTCAAAAAAGGACAATATTGTTTCAAGCTATTTTTAACGGCCAGCTTGTTAATGTTGTATCTAACTATTTATACATTCAAAGAATCCCTACATTCAGCCCATCCAATCCACACCGACCATCCAAGAGCAGCCCACCCATACCAAACCCCTCTACCCTCTACCCTATCTCTGTAACCGCACAATTCCCATGGCTAACCCACCTTTCTTGCACATCCCTGAACACTGTCGGCAATTTAGCATAGCCAATGCACCAAACTTGCACGCATTTGGATTGTGGGAGGAAACCGGAGCACCCAGAGGAAACCCACGCGGACACGGGGCAAATGTGCAAACTACATACTGACAGTTGCCCGATTGACATAGACTGTCATTTTCAGGAATGCCATGAATTTGATTCATATAAGGTTACTAACAGATCTGTTAATAATTTAATACTGCAGTTCTAATGCATACCTTGATCTGAAAGCATTTTGTGCTCAAACGATAGTAGATACTGTTGTACATATACATTGCCTTTAAAAGAGTTCACATTTAAGGACTCCATGTGCTCCGTGTATACAGTGTTACAAGTCTGCCTGCCAGTTAAGCGATACAGAAATTAGTTGGTTAACTGTAAATGTCTGTTTCATAATTTATAATGTGTTTTAGTGTTGTAAATGAAATAACTCATGGAGTTAATCAATCAAGCAATTGATTATTGGACCAATATCATTAACAGTACAGGTATCAGTTCAGTGTTTCCATAGCTGATTCAAACTTGATCTTGAAAGGAATATGACTTTTCCTTCAAGAGCATTATCATCTCAGAAAAAAAATTGCAACACAAAATTTGTTCCATAACTCATGTTTATGGTTCTAAACATGTTTCTGGTAATAAAGGGAATTATTGTTTATGGTCAGATGCAAAGAAAATGGAAAAAGAAAACAAAGTCGAACGATTAAGTAGCATGTGCTTTTTGTTAAATAAAGGAAGAGGATAGATGATATGTTTGGATAATTCAGGGAGAATAAACGCACACATCATACTGAGAAACTGCAAAGTTTTACTGCTGTAATAGGGTGGCTCAGTGGTTAGCACTGCTGTTTCACAGAGCCACGGTTCAATTCTAATGCCAGGCAACAGTCTGTGTGGAGTTTGCACATCCCCTCCGTGTCTGTGTGGATTTCCTCCAGTGCCTCAGTTTCCTCTCATGGTCCAAAGATGTGGAGGTTAGGTGAATTGGTCATGCTCAATTGCCCCATAGTGTCCAGGGATGTACAGGTTAGGTGGATTAGCCATGGAAAATGCAGAGTTCCAGGGATGGGGTAGGGGGATGGGTTTGGGTGAGCTGCTTTTCAAAGGGTTGTTGTGGACTTGATGGGCCAAATGGTCTGCTTCCACACTGTAGGGATTCTATGAAATAAGTATTGTTTCTGGAATTCCTACAAGCCTCAATGGGGAAAAAGTCAGAAGTCACTTGACACTAGGTTACAGTCCAACAGGTTTATTTGAAACCACAAGCTTTTGGAGAGCTACTGATGCTTCACCTGATGCAGGAGCAGCACTCCGAAAGTTTGTGATTTTAAACAAATGTTTTCAACTATAACAGACATTGCTGGAAAAGCTCAGCAGGTCTGGCAGCATCTGTGAAGAAAAAATCAGAGTTAATGTTTCGGTTCTGGTGTCCCTTCCTCAAAAATGTTGGACGACAACCTGGTGTAGTGTGACTTCTGGCTTTGTCCATCCCAGTCCAACAGCGGGACCTCCACGTCATGGGTCCTCAACAAAAAGAATAGGGTGATGACCATCTCGGTAATACAAATTACCTTAACACTACTTTTCACAAGTTTGAAAGATGCCACCGTGACCATATTAAACTGCTTAACATTGACTGTGTTACTCTAAGATTGATACAGATGTGTATCTTTACAATTTTTTTTTCTGTATGTCCACTAGTTTTTTTAAGGGTAGAACTTCCTGTCTTTGCAGCTAAAAATGATAGCATCTAACAATAGGATATTAGACAACTTTGTTAAAATATCCCTGCATTCATAAATTAGTTCTATTTTATTCTACTCTAAAGTTTAGTTACATAGAAATTAAACATTTCTCAGTGAATCAGGTTTGTATTGAAGAAATTAAGATGGGACTTTAAAAAAAGAACTCCAATAATGGCTGCTTAAGCAATAAATTTTAAATTGCTTCATAAAGAAATAAAATAACAACAACACCCTCTGAATAGGAAACAATGTATATTGATTCTTGCTTTTTAGTGGCTGAGAAGACAAAGGAGCAGGCTTCTTTGGTGGGCGGTGCTGTTATCACTGGGGTCTCAGCTGTGGCTCAGAAGACAGTGGATGGAGCTGGGAATATTGCAGCAGCCACTGGCCTGGTGAAAAAGGAAGATTTACCATCTGAAGAACTAAAGGTTAGCCTTCAGCAAGCATGAACACCCCACCCAGTGCGGCTGCAATATGCATCAAACTATTCAGATTTAATATTGCTGCATTATATGCTTAGCAAAAGCACATCATTTGGCAGTGAGAACACAATACAGGAAACTGAAGATTTTACAATTATTTAGATGTTAATATTAAAAGCTGCTTCATATGCCTCAGGATTTGAGTATACACTTCCGAGTCATTTCCATTTTAGGCTGAAATTAATGTAGCAATTCAGTGGGGGCTAAATTTGATTGTACAGTACCATTTTCCAGGCATAACGTGGCCACCCAACACTTCCATAAAGGCTCAAGTTACACACACTGACTTCTACATTGACTTTTTATGAGAAATACACAGCTAGCTATCTCGGCAAAAGGGTTTGTGCTTCACATTTAATAACCGCTGGCAGTTTGAAGAGAAGGTAAGTTATCAATCAATGTGCATCACTGATTTAGCGCCATTACTAATTTCAAATTTCACACTGCAGCCAAACTATCAATGCAGAATATGACTTACGATGGAATAAAAGATTTCCTTCCCCCAAACCACTCGCACACCTCCCTCAAATCTGTACTACGTCAAGGAACAATGAACTCCTGCAAAGTCATTGCTGGAGTACTTCTTTTGGATGGTGGTTCAATTGTGCATGTATTTGGAGCCTTCCTGTACTTGGTTTAAGTTTAAAAAGTCGATAGTTATTGTATGTTTTTTGCCTATGGTGGTGTTCCTGCCAGATGTTTCCACAGTGGCTGAGGGATAGGTGTTGAAATTTGAATTTTCTTTTGAGCAAACTGCAGATTTCTGTACGTCCATTAGTTTTTTAAGGGTAGAACTAGTGGCTGAGAAGACAAAGGAGCAGGCTTCTGGAGGATGACTTCAGACAGCTCTGTTCCCTTAATTCAGGTTGCATCACTTCGGCCTGGGCTGCAGCAGTCAGGCCTAACTAGCTGATTGGGAACAACAAAAGTATTGGCAGAGTCGTAGGGATGCAGATGCTGTCATCCTGCAAGTGAAAAAAAAACAGACTTATGCTTCATCTAAGCACTGTTACTCTCCTAAGAAGCTGCCTCAGTAACCGTACTTAGGTCTCGTTGGACAGACTGCTGTGACGTTCTGTGAGCACCTTTGGATAGTTATTAAAAGCCACCATGGCAGCAGTCTTAGCTTGCAAGACAACATTCTGAGGGTCCACTACAGCATTCAGACATTTGATGTTGACTGTTTGTGCCACAGTGAGGCCTGTTTGTGCTGCAAAGTAAACTTGGACATCAGCCATCTGGCTCTGCATCAAAACAAGTTCCACAGTGCTGCTGGAGTGACCACTCATTCATGTTAGAAAGGATGAGCTGCATGTTCTACTCAAAGCCTGGTGCCAAGTTGCTTCTGAACTCTACCACTCTCTACAACATTAAAAGTGAGCTTACCAGAGCACCAAGAAGTAATGGTTACTCACAGACAGCAAGCTTCTTCAGGAGCCGGATCCATCAAAGGTTTTATCTATCACTCGTGCGCAGAACTGATGTCTGCAATATACCTTTTTCCTGTGCTAGCTCTGAGGGGAATTCTGCTTGGTGTCTTTATACTGGCCTCTAACATACATACATTATTTTTTAGTGTTTCCATGTGTAAAACCAAGAGACAGTATACCACTATCTTCACTGGCTTTGTCCTCTTCTTCCTTAGTCTGGGAGAATTACAGTTGCTGGCTATCTGAGAAAGGAACACAGGTTGGGCTGTGTTGAGGCAAGAAGAGAAAGTAAGAAATGTGTGCTTGCATCATTTTCAGTTTGTAAATCAGAAAATGTTATGGGATGAGGGAGCAGTAGGACAAGAGGAGGATTAAGTATGCCTTAATTATACCTTCATCACCAGTTGCTCCCAGCTCTGCGGTGCACCACCGCCTCAACAATGCCTTTTACAAGGGTGGCTGGCACAGTCTCCTCCATGGGAAGCATACTTGTCATCCTCCTGTTCTTTTCTGATATCTCATGTTACGCAATACTTTTTCTGGTAAGAAAGAGGAAAGTGTGTCAACAAATGTGCTGCAATATGTTAGTGTAGTGCCTGCTATATTGAATGGTTGCCAGTGTGTGAGAGCTGTGAGTTGTGGGTGCGAGATTTGTAGTAGTGCGGAGTGTATGAGAGTGAGGTATAGCACATGAATTGAAAGATTGAGATTGGGATTGTGAATAGAGTGCTGAGGGGTTAGAGAATGGAAATGTGGATAAGACTAGTGGAAAACTTTGTAGGAAATGTAATTTGAAGATAAATTCATTAAGCTTCACAACTTATTTCAGTTTGTTAGACTTTTTTTTCAAAGCATCCATATTCTTGGAGCGATACACCTGGCATTGCTGTCTGCCATTAATTCTTACATCTTGCACGATGACCATCTGTACACTATCAGAAAGTCTAGGTGCTCACTCAATGGCATGTGCAACCATTGCTCAAAGTAACACCTGTTTCAGAGATAGTAGGAACTGCAGATGCTGGAGAATCTGAGGTAACAAGGTGTACAGCTGGATGAACACAGCAGGCCAAGCAGCATCAGAGGAGCATGAAAGCTGACGTTTCAGGCCTGGACCCTTCTTCAGAAATGGAAGAGGGAAAGGGGTACTGAAATAAATAGGGAGAGAGGGGGAGGCGGATAGAAGATGGATCGAGGAGAAGATAGGTGGAGAGAAGACAGACAGGTCAAAGAGGCGGGGATGGAGCCAGTAAAGGTGAGTGTAGGTGGAGAGTTAGGGAGGGAATAGGTCAGCCCGGGGAGGACGGACAGGTCAAGGGGGTGGGATAAGGTTAGTAGGTAGGAGATGAGGGTGGGGCTTGAGGTGGGAGGAGGGGATAGGTGGGAGGAAGGACAGGTTAGGGAGGCGGGGACAAGCTGGGCTGGTTTTGGGATGCGGTAGGGGGAGGGGAGATTTTGAAGCTTGTGAAGTCCACATTGATACCATTGGGCTGTAGGGTTCCCAAGCGGAATATGAGGTGCTGTTCCTGCAGCCTTCGGGTGGCATCGTTGTGGCACTGCAGGAGGCCCAGGATGGACATGTCGTCTGAGGAATGGGAGGGGGAGTTGAAATGGTTTGCGACTGGGAGGTGCAGTTGTTTATTCGAAGTGAACGTAGGTGTTCCGCAAAGCGGTCCCCAAGCCTCCGCTTGGTTTCCCCGATGTAGAGGAGGCCATAACGGGTACAGCGGATGCAGTATACCACGTTAGCAGATGTGCAGGTGAACATCTGCTTGATGTGGAAAGTCTTCTTGGGGCCTGGGATGGGGGTGAGGGGAGAGATGTAGGGGCAGGTGTGGCACTTCCTGCGGTTGCAAGGAAAAGTGCCGGGTGTGGGGGAGTTGGAGGGGAGTGTGGAGCAGACAAGGGAGTCCCGGAGAGAGTGGTCCCTCCGGAAAGCAGATAAGGGTGGGGAGGGAAAAATGTCTTTGGTGGTGGGGTTGGATTGCAGATGGCGGAAGTGTCGGAGGATGATGCGTTGGATCCGGAGGTTGGTGGGGTGGTACGTGAGGACGAAGGGAATTCTGTTTTGGCTGTTATTGAGGGAAGCGGGTGTGAGGTATGAGTTGTGGGAAATGCGGGAGACATGGTCGAGGGCATTCTTGACCACTGAGGTGGGGAAGTTGCGGTCCTTGAAAAACGAGGACATCTGAGATGTTCGGGAGTGGAATACCTCATCCTGGGAGCAGATGCGGTGGAGGCGGAGGCGAAGGAATTGGGAATAGGGGATGGCATTTTTGCAGGAAGGTGTGTGGGAGTAGGTGTATTCTAGGTAGCTGTGGGAGTCGGTGGGCTTGAAATGGATATCGGTTTCCAGGTGGTTGCCAGAGATGGAAACGGAGAGGTCCAGGAAGGAGAGAGAGGTATCAGAGATGGTCCAGGTGAACTTAAGGTTGGGGTGGAAGGTGTTGGTGAAGTGAATGAACTGTTTGAGCTCCTCGTGGGAGCACGGGGCGGCGCCGATACCATCATCAATGTAACGGAGGAAGAGGTGGTGTTTAGGGCCAGTGTAGCTACGGAAGAGGGATTGTTCCACGTAACCTACAAAGAGGCAGGCATAGCTTGGGCCCATGCGGGTACCCATGGCCACCCCCTTGTCTGTAGGAAGTGGGAGGAATTGAAAGAGAATTTGTTGAGGGTGAGGACGAGTTTGGCTAAGCGGATGAGGGTGTCGGTGGAGGGATACTGGTCAGGCCTGCAGGACAGGAAGAAGCGGAGGGCCTTTAGGCAATCTGCATGGGGAATGCAGGTCTATAGGGATAGGTGTATAGCTCAAACAATTCATCCACTTCACCAACACCTTCCACCCCAACCTTAAGTTCACCTGGACCATCTCTGATACCTCTCTCTCCTTCCTGGACCTGTCTGTTTCCATCTCTGGCAACCACCTGGAAACCGATATCCATTTCAAGCCCACCGACTTCCACAGCTACCTAGAATACACCTCCTCCCACCCACCTTCCTGCAAAAATGCCACCCCCAATTCCCAATTCCTTCACCTCCGTCAGATCTGCTCCCAGGATGAGGCATTCCACTCCCGAACATCTCAGATGTCCTCGTTTTTCAAGGACCGCAACTCCCCCCCCACCCAGTGGTCGAGAACGCCCTCGACCGTGTCTCCCGCGTTTCCTGCAACTCATCCCTCACACCCCCTCCCCGCAATAACAACGAAAACAGAATCCCCCTCGTCCTCACGTGCCACCCCACCAACCTCCGGATCCAACGCATCATCCTCCGACACTGCTGCCATCTGCAATCCAACCCCATCACCAAAGACATTTTTCTCTCCCCACCCTTATCTACTTTCCGGAGGGACCACTCTCTCCAGGACTCCCTTGTCCGCTCCACACTCCCCTCCAGCCCCACCACACCCGGCACTTTTCCTTGCAACTGCAGGAAGTGCTACACCTGTCCCTACACCTCCCCCCTCACCCCCATCCCAGGCCCCAAGAAGACTTTCCACATCAAGCAGATGTT